TTTTTTATTAAAGCTTATAATATTTGCAAGATACCAGTTGAGCCTGATTTGTGAATTATTATTTGATTATATTAAATTTTTTAGAGCAAAATGCTGAAAAAGTGGCAATTTTGAAGAAAATGGAGAATACATTAGTTAATAAATGTTACATAACAAAGACTAGTTAAAAACAATTTTATGGTTCCCAAAACGAAAAAATTACAAAAAATGTTTGAAATGTTATAAAAAAAGGTTCACAAAAATAATTTTTTTTTTGGTTTTTAGTAAAAATTGGTTGAAAAATGAAGACTGCGGTGAATTACGAGCATTAGATTCCAATTTTGAACCTCTGTGTGCTGACTTCGGTAAATGTATTTTTGGCAGCAAAGGATGACGAAGTCCTTGAAAAGGATTTGGCTTCATTTTCCGGAATCGGTTAATTAACTGGTAAATATTTGATTTGATTTACTTTTATCGTACAAGTTGTATGTACGTATGCCCAGATAATTTTGAAAAAATGTCCTTTATTTTACATTGGCTAATATGGTCACCGTAAACATAGGGGCCATGCGGCCATACCGGCCGGAAAATCCATAAAATTAAAATTGTAATATCTCAGCGAAGCTAAAAGATATTTGAGCAAACTCAACGCCATTTCAAAGAAAAAGACTTATACTTTAACAGCTTTTATGTATTTTTTTGAGAAAAATTACTCTGGCTTGCATACACAACTTCAAAAATGGACAAAAACGGCATTTTTTGCACTTATAGGTTAGAATATCTCAAAATCCTGATGTGATAGAGCAATTCCGTGGCCAGATTTGAATTCAGCCCACCGAAAACCTTCGGGAAATTTTGTCGGCCTGTGTTATTTATTAACGTGAAACATATTTTTTTTATTAAATTTATGGTCCTTAGTAATGGTATGTGCGAAATTTCAGACATTTGGCTCAATATTTGTGGTAAATAGACGATATTTTTGACGAAGATGTATTTCAGGCGCGCGACTTGGTAAAAATTGAAAATCGAGTTGAGTAACCCCTTAACGACCACCGATTTTTCTCAAATTTTCAGCATCATGTTGTCTGATGCATCGCACACAAATTTCAAAAAATCGTTTTTTTTTAATCAGTCTAGTGCACATGCCACTCACTTCACCTTTACTCAAGCTCCGCTATATAGTTTCTTTTCCCACAGTCCAAAGGGGATACATGAACTGAAGGAATTTCAGGACTACTGTTGGGTAAAACCCCACAAAATCTTGGGTATATCTCAAACACGATGGCTTTCACTAGAAAGCGTTGTGTTAAGAATAGTTGAGCAATGGGATAGTTTGAAATTTTATTTTATTTCCTGCTTTTATGAAGTAGACGGTATGCGATCTGCAGACCTGGCAGAAGGAATGTTTTGCAAAACAAAATGCTATTTTTTATTTCTATTGTATATTTTGCCCATAACTAACAATCTTAACAAAGAGTTCCTAGCTGAGAGCTCTCGTTTGCCATACTTATATGCAACTATCAAAGCACATTATCTCTTAATTTTGAGTAACTTTATTAAAAAAGATGCGATCAGTAACAATATTAATATTGATTTTAAAAATGAAAATAATTACATATATTAAAATATCTGAAATTTTTGTTGGAACGAAAGCTGAGATGTTTATGAAAAGTAATGTCAATTATTCTGAAATTCTTGAAGTTAAAACCCAAAATATTAAAGTTTTACATAAAGTTTTTGGACCAAATAAATTTAAGATTTGATTTCTAGCGTGAAGATATAAAACTTTAACAAATAATAACACCAGGTAAGGTAGTTTCTAAGGAAGATGTACCAATTTTACCTCTTTTGTTAAAGTTTTCCCATCTCATAGATTGCGATCCTCATATAATCCCCACGCAGTGGAATTTACTGAGGCTAAGTGAGCTTGATATTTCCAGCGATCTGGATACTGATATGTTTTTGGAAAAAGTTTATTCTATTAACAAGTAAGAAAATCTAAGTTCGGGCGGAGCCGAACATTAAATACCCGGCGCAAATATTAAATATATGTTTTTCACCTTTTTGAAAGCTACCGCTACATCGTAAGCCGGGGTGTATCAATTTTGAGTAAATTAGCGTACTTGAATTTCGAAATATTGAAGTTTCAAGCATTTCTGAAATTTACCGTTATATGATAAGCGGCCGTAATTTTAGTCCGATTTCAATATTTTTGAATATTTTGCTTTCATGTGGCAAGCACAATAACCATACCGAGATTGGTATAAATTGGTAGAGCGGTTACCGAGATACATATATGTGATCCCAAGTGGGCGGTGCCACGCCCATTTTCCAAAATTTTATCATAAAGGTATTTCTTGGCAAAGTGTTGTTGCAAGCATCAATTTTGAATAAATTAGCTTTAATATTTACAGATTTATCGAAGATTTCGTATTTCTCTAAATTACCGTTATATGGGATGTGGGCTTGGTTATTGTCCGATTTCAGCCATTTGGTATCCTGTACCAAGGCCAACAACTGTGCCAAGTTTGGAAGAAATCGGTGCAGCGGTTACCAAGATATACACATGTAACCATAAGTGGGCGTGGCTACGCCCATTTCCCAAAAATTTATAATAATCTTATTTTTCGTCTAAAAATTATTGTAAATATCAATTTTGAGCGGATAATCTTCAGTAGTTACTAAAATATCGCAGTTTTCGTATTTCTGAAAATTACCGTTATATGGGAGGTAGGCGTGGTTATTGTCCAAGTTTGCCTATTTTCAATACCATCCGCTCTACGCCCGAAAGAAGTGCACGTACCAAGTTTCGTTAAGATATCTCAATTTTTACTCGAGTTATCGTGTGCACAGACGGACGGACAGACAGTCACCGCTTAATCGATTTCTTCTTTCATCCTGATCATTTATGTATACATTCGTCTATATCTATCTCGATTCGTTTTGCCTGTTACAAACAACCGTTATGTTTTTAATATAATTTCATTACTACACAGCTCTGCAGCTGCAGAACGCAAATTTTCAATGTTTTCTTTGATAAAAACTAAAATTAATTAAACTTAAGATTGAAAGTATCAATAGCATAATGTTATGCAAGGAACTTGCAAACAAAAATGAAAGATTGCATGTGTAATTAATTGATTTAAATTTACTTTTAAGAAATTAAACTTATTGTTACATAACATGTATGTACAGTAGATTTTGCTTAGCTGCACATCCTTCTTTGCACGAAAAACTTGTGCACCTAACCGAAAAAGGCACTTAACGAATTTTCTTTACTACTTCAATGAGGAAGGTATCCGAATCCCTATGAAACCAAATAATCGAGAAGCACTTATCACGTAGAAAATAATGCAAGCGAAATTTTTTTTTCGAATGGTATCTTATTATCTACATAACTAGAAAAATTGATAGCCATTTCCGTTGTTCTGCGATATGAGTAAAATAAATAAAAGCTTGTAAAATTAGGTAATTGTAGGCCAGTGCAGGTAAACGTAATACTTTCTTTGATAATTGATACTAGTTGCACAATTTTTAAGGCAGCTATCGCCAATGTGCAGGTATGTTGAATGCATCTATCGGAGCAGTTTCCTTATAAATGTTAAAAATAATGTCTCTGATGCGCATTTTGGGGTAGGTATCTTAAATGTGCACTTAAGCATAAAGGCAGCAAAGCAAAATATACTGTATATAATTCATACAACCAAAGAACGTAAATCTATAAGAAGAGACAACATCAGGACCATTGTGGAAGAATACAAGTGAGATATCTTAGGGTTGACAGATAGTTGACAGGGTGTTCAATATGGCGATGACAGTGTGAACAATATGGCAGCCAATATGGCATACAAGACCGAATGGCCCGAAGTAGCCAAACTACGACCCGAATGAAACGCTTCGTGAAAATCCAGGGTTGCGAAGTGATATTTTGTTGGAAAATATAAAAGCCAGGATTTTGTGCAGCGCCGAATTTTAACAAAAGAGGGTTTTGTGTTCTCAAGATGAACAGAAAAGGGTTGCTGTGCTGTTTCGTTTTAAGCTTATTTTAATCTTAAGGTATCTAATTAAATATTAAAAGGAGACAAAAATTAAAGCAAAAATTTAAAATATATGTACATATCTGAAAATTATAAATAAAATATATATTTTCACGAGAGACAAATTAAATAAAATGGGTTAACTTTAGGGGAAATATACTTATCAGATTGGGTCAGATAGCGCTTTTACGTTATAAATAAAAATAATTCCTACTTAAATTTTATATAATTTTGGTAACGTATTTCTAAGCTGACCCTGAGATCTGTGAAATAATACATATTTATGTGCATATATTGTGTTGATTATGCTCTAAATCGCTAAATAATTCTTGCAGCAATCAGCACCATTGGAAAGTGAAGTGACAATAGGCTGGTTTTCTTTATACAGCCCGTTTTAAATTCGTATTATTGTTATAATAAATTACAATTATTGTTTGTTTCCATTTCGGTCAACCGCGCAAATTATTTATTAAAAAAATGTCGTTTAAAAATAGCAATTTTGTTTACTTTTGAATAAGACTTTATCGAGTGCGCTATAAAGACAGGGGGATAAATGCTGTAAAGAAATATATGTTGAGTCCAATCGGTTTTTTGCTAATCCGGTTTTTGTGTAGGTATAAACAAGGTATATTAAAAAAATAAATCTCCATGAAAAAATATCGTTATTTTCGTATTTAAAATTAATCGGAATTTTATGGGGGGTTATAAAAACTCGTTTTAATTGAAACTTTGTTTTTTTCGGCTATATTTGTTATTATTTATTGGCCCAGATGCAAATATTGAATGAACTAACATATTTTAAATATTTACGGAACTACCATTTGTATGCAACCCTGCCTATCCTGTATTCAAGTAGATGTAATTCGAAAAATTTAAACGGATTTCTTTAAATCAACCTGAGCTGCGGACATATTGCGAATTCATTTTAAAACATTAACCACTACATTATATTAGTATTAAATACTTTCAATTAAGAAACAATTCTTATTAGAAAATAAATATGAATCGGTTTATTTTAAATATTCCAATGTATATTTTTTGTTAATGCAGATAGTGCGGATTTAACGTATTTTATAACCGTTACATGGGGAAAATAAATTTTAGGCAGATTGTTATTGACAATTTTTATATAATTTACGATTGCAATCAATTTCTTTCAAAACTATAATCTAAATGATTGCAAGTTGTATTTTTTACGATCAAAACAGATTCCAATATTAGGTATATTATGCAAATGCAATCCAATTTGATTTGAGTTATTCAGTTTTAGATACATTTATATTTCTGTGTTCGTATGGAATAGTAGTTTATGTCGGGAAGCTGGCTTTAGTATAATCCGGCATTCCCTTTATTATTTACAACACAAGGAATTTTTTGATGACCCTTAACAAGAATATGGACGTGCTAGTATCGGAACTATTTCTTGCACGTTTATTTATCCAAAATTTCTTCAACGGCTCGGCGCCAGTGAGGGTATGCTGCGAATGCTGCATTATACTAAAACCAGCCTTTCGACATAAGCTACTATTCCATACGAGTGGAGCACGTGCGAAATGCGGATTTTCCCAGTTGCAGTACAGCAGTAACTCGACACCTTCCTCACCAACCGCTCTGTCCTCTATGAGCTTCTTAATGTAACTGCAAATAAAAGATGAAAATTTGAGAAAAAATACTATCACAGCGTTTCACTTGTAGCGTTTCACTCTTGTAGTATATTGGCTATCAAGCACCAGAAAATTTCCATCACGCATTCCATATGCCACCGATTGTCGTGGATCAATTAAAATACTGTCATCACAGCTTTTTGGTACTCCAGCAACTGGTGTGTCTATGGCGGAGTTATGTGGAGCTGTTGCATGACTAAAATCAATTTGGGCTCTTTGAGAACTGGCTTGTTTGTTGCGCGCTATTGGCATCAAATGTATGCAAATTAGATTTCCAAACGGGCAACTGTTGAATACAGGAAAAAATGTATTTTATATGGTTCCGCTAAAGTGCACTACTACCGTGTATAAATTGGCCGACCTTCTAATAAATCAAGCAATCTTATTGTATCGTCATCGCCGCCAGTCACCAAGAAATTTCCACTTGGGTGAAATGCAACATCATTCTCCGGCGACGAATGCACTGTATTAGCTCGCCTTCAGCTTTGTCAAATATCTTAACGCGGTTACAACTTAATGCTAAAGCCACCAGATTGCCGTCTGGATGCCATGCCAGCTGTCGTCCCATACCTCTTCCCCCGGTGAACGTTCGCATACATTCGCCTGAAAATGTATCGCAAATTCTTAACTTGTCGCCGCACGATGAAATGAACTTACCATTAGGGCTGAATTTTGCTGCGCGCACCCATTTGTGTGTATTTTGAATCAGTATTTTGATGGCTGTTCGCCATTTTTCTAGTCTGCAAACGAATAAGCTGACGAAGAAGCAAACAAATTCAAGCACATTGTTGCATTCTACCGTACATTTTAAAAGCTTTAAAATCTTAAAACATATGTGAAAAACTTTTATAATCTGAATATTTCTAATGTCGCAATCAAAACCAAATTTTATAAATAGCATTTTTAAAAAGCAATCATCTAATATTTTTCAAGTTTTTGGGCATATATGTTACCATTTGAACAACTAATACTACCAAGTTTTAAGAGACTATTTAATGCAACTCAGGTCAAAAAAGCGCACTTTAGACCAAAATAAGCAACTCTAAAAAACAGATGATCGCAGCTGTGGCCCAGGATGACGTCTATTGCTAAGATATCTCACTTGTATTTGTACACAATGATCAGGACATCACATCATGAACATCAGGAGCGTGCCTTCTCTTTCGCCCAAATACGTTTTATGATTGGATGAAAAGAGAAAGCACGCTCCTGATGTTCACACTCGCTACAATTATAACGAGTTGGCTATTCTTATAGATTTACGTTCTTTGATCCAACCAAAAATTGTTAAATGATCTCATCTATGTGCCTAAGACTGTACTTGCATTTATTTATTTCTTGTTTGTTTTAAAATGTACAAACTACATATATGTATGTATGTAAATGTTTTGTATTGGAAACATTTAATCTTAAATAAATGAATTGGGGGGGTGTAATAAAACACAAACGGCAATAACGCAAAATTTGCTTTGTTTCACTTTTAAATGGGAAATAATACCAAAATCCGAGTTTTGCTTTATTTCCAACAAAGGTTGGAAATAAAACAAATTTTGCCTTATATCTCATTGCTTATTTATACTGTTTGTAAAAAAAACAGTTTACTGACAGAAGGAAAAAGAACTTTGTTTATTCCAAAAATACAATTAAACCAAGGCACATTGAACAGGTAATATCAGTATAGCAGCTGATTTGATTTTTTTCAAATTATTTGTTCTCGAAAATGTCAAATATTTTACATTTCTTCTCACAAAAGTTCTAAATTGTTAAAATCTATTTGCATGTGAAACATTTTCCATACAAAACCAGCGATTAAAAAGCAGCTTTTGGAAAGCTCGCCCAACTCAGCAGCACAACCGCTAATTACTGGGCCTGGCACAGGATGGATCAATGCTTCGAGAAGCGAGCCAATTTACTAAGAAAGAAAGTTGCAACAATTTTCATTTTTTCAATTTAAATTTTTTACCTTTTTCGTATTTCGCATGGCACGCTTTGATGTAGCAGAAAAAAATCAGAACAGTTTTTGGCACCTTTGATACCAGAAGCAATAACAAAATACAGGCAAAGGTTGTTTTTGCTCAAATGCTCTAAACCTGTTTGATATGCCTTGAATTAAACAAAAAATGTGATATGATTCATATGAAGAAAGTAATATTCACAAAATATTCTTTCAAAACTGTTCCGCATATTGGACATATCGCTTTTGTATGAATTTTTTCTGCATGCTTTTTAATATATGTTAAAAACATTGCTGGAAAACCTTAAAATGTTTGCATGAAACCATGTCGCAATAAACAGATGAAGTAATAAAACAGCTTTCTCGCTTTATTTTCTGACATTCGGCATTTTATAGGCAAATTTTCAAATAAAGCAGTGGCACCTGGTAAATTCCACTATGGGTGGGATGCAGCATGCAATAACACCATACACAATAATTCCCATTACTTGGACATTAAAAAGCAGTTTCAGAAGTGAACTAGTGTTATTTTATCATTTTTCCTTTTTCTAACGGTTATAATGCCACCAGTACATAATTGAGAAAGGAGGGGAGGGGCGGGGGACGCGAGCGCGACGTCGAACGCGGCGCGGGGTGGCGCGGGGCGGCGCGCGAACGCGGACCGCCGCGACGCCGGGCACTTTCAAAATTGTATAGATACTTACAAATTCGTCCATTTAACTTGTCCATGTACTACTTTTTGTCAAATGTAACTGGGTGACTACGTACATATGTGCACTAGTTTGCTTTATTACTCAAATTGTTAAGTATAAAAGTTGGTCTTATTGCTCAACGAGAAATGAAATAAAGCAAATTTGTGTTATTTCACATTCAATTGGGAAATAACACAAATTTGCGTTATTTCCGTTTGTGTTATTTCACCACCGCCCCACCACTATTCATAAGAAAATTTACAACTTCTTTACATAGTCTCTTTTCACTTTTTGAACGCCACGTTTCTGCTTATTTTTACCGCATTGATTTTATTTTATTTTTTTACAATCAAAATATATTTTTAAGAACGTAAACACGTCACTATTGACAGAATTTTATAGTTACAGCTTCAAGTCGTTAGCATTTGCATTTCATTTTTAAGCTTAAGCGATTTATAAACATTTGCCCTTAACAATTATTAAAGGTTTATTTGAAAAAACTTTTATTAAAAACGCTTATTTAACGCTTATTATAGGAAACTTACTTTCAATTATTTTTAAAAACATTTACTGCAATGATTGTTGGGTATGTATGTATATGGGTGAAAATTTCCCAACTGGACCTCGGATTTCAGTCAAGTTCGAATTTTTGCGTGAAAATTTGTGGCTAGAAAGGTTTATTTGTGGCTAGAGAGAGGTATTTGAGAATTTTTTTTGAAAAACTTTAATTTTTTAAGTTTTTATAAACAAATATATTTTTAAGCAATCTTTTTTTCAAAACTCATTTTCTCTTAAAGTATTTGACGAAAGTGGATGAAATTTTTTTTGTAAGCGTAGTGACATTACACTGAAAATAAAATTTCGTAAAAGTGCTACGAAAATCTTTCGTAGTGTTGATTTCTGTACAATGTACGAAACTTTCGTTCATAATACGAACACATTTTTCACAACACAACAAGATTTTACGAACCATACGTACATAAATATAACGAAAGGCATTTTTTCAGTACAATTTACGAAGTCTTACGTTTATTTTACGAAACACATTCGTAAAGCACTAAACAAATCTCTGTCCGAATAATTTTGGATATTGTAGGAAAGCATTCGTAATATTTACGTACGGTTGCCAGACGTACTGGTTTTATCAGTACACTACTGATTTTTCAGCTTTTGTACTGATTTTATTCATTTCTTCAATCAGTACGCTAATGTCCTGATATTTCAAAATTTGTACTGATTTGTACTGAATTTTCTATTCAAACAAAATACTTTAGTATTTTCTTAAGGTTTTTACATAACGTTGGAACTTAGCATAAACTGTACTCTAAAAAATAAGAAGAAAATAATTTAATTATAGTTCACATGTTTCACATAATGTTTGATATGCCCAAGTAATTAATACAATAAAAAGATCAATCGTTTTATGGGCATATCGCCGGGTCGTTACGTACCAGTTGCGATAATATGATGGAGCTTAAATTATTTAAAAAGAAGGCTTAAATCTTTCTCGAGTGTTTTTAATTATCTCAAAAATAACTTTCAGTTTAATAACAATAAATTTCAATATTCGAATGGCTTTGCCTATAACTTACAACTCCTTTTTCTCAATTTACTGACTCTGTAAAAGAGTTTTGCGTACAGGACATAGAGTTAGATACCCTTTTTATCGAATTCTTAGTATTTCACAGTTTTTGCGTAGTTGAAAAATTATTTAAGCCATGAGGAAATATAGATGAACTCCTTAAGAAGTGGCACTTTTTTACAATATGACAGGATCTTAGGAATAAAGTTTGTTTCCTGGCGCAAAGAGAGAAACCGGCTTCTAATTAAAATTTTTGAAAGTGAACTTCAAATTAAAAGTAATTTTAAAATGAAATCTCTAGAATTCGCTGACTATTTAAACACTGTAAATGGGAATGATCTCATTATTGCTATTCAAAAATGTCATAAATATAAAATAATTTATTGACTCCTGTGTACGATGATGTGTACACTCATGTTAAAATGAATAACATTTTTATATTTATGAACTACTAGTGAAAAGGTATTTTTTCCTTTTAAATGTTTTTTCTCAGATTTATACATACGAAGTATACAAATTTCATATCAGAAGAAAGCGGGTTTAATCACGTTTGTGACAATAGAAATTTTTTTAAATCAGTTCAAACTAGTTTGAAATATAAGATTTTTAATTTTTCGAAGACCCGACCTTTGACCCCTTATAGCACCTGTAGCATAGAAAAAGTTATATATTGTTTAAATAAGAGAAAAGGGCGTACCACGACTATGTTTTTACTTTTTTTAGTAGTTTACATATAGTAATCTTACTAATATTATAAATGTGAAAGTTTGTATGTTTGGATGTTTGGGAAATCATTACGCGGAAACGACAGAACGGATTTGCATAAAATTTTGTATGCAAGTAGCTTATGGGCCAGATTGGTTAATAGGCTATTTTTTTTTAAGACTTGCCACCTGTTAAAAAAGTTTAATTTATTTAATATAAGGGAACGACTGAATGGATTTGCATGAAAATTTGCACTCAGATAGCTTATGACTTAGATTGTAAAATAGGCTACTCTTCTTAAGAGTTTCCACCTGTTAAACAAGTTTAATTAAATTAATACGCGGAAACGACTGAATATATTTGCATGAAATTTTGCAAGCAGATAGCTTATGATCTACAGTGGAAAATAAGCTAACTTTTTTGAAGAGTTGCCACCTGTTAAAAAGTTTAATTTATTTAATATGCGGGAACGTCTGCATGGATTTGCATGAAAATTTGCACACAGATAGCCTATGACTTAGGTTGGAAAATAGGCTACATTTCTTAAGAGTTGCCACCTGTTAAAAAAGTTTAATTAAATTAATACGCGGAAACGACTGAGCGGATTTGCATGAAATTTTGCACACAGATAGCTTATGACCTATGTTGGAA